TTTTTTTGGAGACAGAGTCTCACTCTGTTGCTTGGGCTAGAGTGCTGTGGCATCAGCCTAGCTCACAGCAACCTCAGACTCCTGGGCTCCAGTGATCCTCCTGCCTCAGCCTCCCAAGTAGCTGGGACTACAGGTACACGCCACCACATCCAGTTAATTTTTTCTATGTATTTTTAGTTGTTCAGCTAATTTCTTTCTATTTTTTTAGTAGAGACGGGGTCTTGCTCTTGCTCAGGCTGGTTTCGAACTCCTGAGCTCAAGCAATCCTCCTGCCTTGGCCTCCAAGAGTGCTAGGATTACAGGCGTGAGCCACCGCGCCTGGCCACAATAAACCTTTTTTTGAAGAGACAGGGTTTGGCTCTGTCACCCAGGCTGGAGAGCAGTATCATGATCATAGTTCACTGCAACCTTGAACTCATGGACTCAAGCGATCCTCCGATCCTACTGTTTCAGCCTCCTGAGTAGCTGGGACTACAGATGCATACCACCATGCCTGGCTAATTTTTTAATTTTTTGTAGAGATGGGCCCTCACTACGTTGCCTCGGCTGATCTTGAACTCCTGGCCTCAAGTAATCCTACTGCCTCAGCCTCCCAAAGTGCTGGGATTACAGGCGAGAGCCACCACACCCAGCCACAATAAATCCTGATTCAGAGGAAGCCCTCTACTTCAAGACTGTCTTGACAGTCTCTCATTGTGATACTTTGTATTTGCATATAATGCACAATGTTTACTTCCACAAAGCCATTATAGGGGTTCTGAGTAGAAATGCATTGAATCTATAGATCTGGGAAGAAGTGACATTTTTACAACATTTAGTTTTCTAATCTGCAAATATACAACTTCTCTCCATTCATTTAGGTATAGAATCTCTGATCTTTTGATTTTAAGTCCTTCCTTGGTTTTACTCCCTCCCTTGTTCCCTTCTCCAGGACCTAACACGGATCAGGGCCCCTTCCTCCTCACCTGACTTGGGATCACCAGGCTTTCCATTGGCCATGGGGGGAGGGCCCAGAAGGCTGGGTGGTCCTAAGAGTAGACATGAAAATATGGTCATCGTAATGAATTAAAGGACTGATGATGCTGTTTTTTTTTTTCTTTTTTGAGACAGAGTCTCTCTCTGTTGCCCAGACTAGAGTGCTGTGGCCTCAGCCTAGCTCACAGCAACCTCAAACTCCTGGGCTCAAGCGATCCTCCCGCCTAGGCCTCCCAGAGTGCTAGGATTACAGGCGTGAGCCACTGCGCCCGCTTGGCTGATGAGCCTGTTCTTAGGTGTTTTTTTTTTATTATTCATTGCTTAATTCAACCAGTAAAGTTAGGCATATTCTCACCCATCTCTCTGCCCTTTTTTCTGCAAAGCTCTTTCCGGGTTTGCAAAAAGTAGAGACTCAGTCAAAGCAGATAATGCAACTTTTTCTTTTCCTTACAGTGCTGCTATCCAAAACATCCCAAGTGATTGCAGAGACAAACCAACCCCTCACCTTAACTGCTGGCCAATCAGATAGTTCTTTTCTCCTCCCTTTCCCCCGAGGGAGTAGTTTAGAGAAAGCTGTCACTTCCACCTTCCCAGTGAAAGTCTGGTCACAAGTTGTCATCCCAGTCATCGCAATCTGCAACATCTCTGCTGCCCCTCTTCCCTGCCGTTCTGCGGCTGCGCATACGAGCTCTTTATCCTCTCCTCCCCCGCCTTCTCTAGAAAGGTTTGGGGGCCGGATTGAGGTTGATGGTTCAAGTTAGAGAACTCCTCACTCAAGGTTCCATTAGGGACAGCCCCCCCCGCACCCCCTCCCCCGCCATCTCGCCCCAGCGCGTGCGCCCTTCCTCCTTCCGTTAGACCCCCTCCACTGCACCTTATCAGCCCTAGCCCATTCCCCGGACGGGCTGACAGCCATGTGCACATCCCTCCCAGACCCCTCACCGACGGGACTCCCATCCTCCTCATCTCCAGTCTCTTCCCGCTCCGGCAGTGGGGGTTGCTGCGGCGGCGGTGGCTGGTGCTGATTCTGCTTCTTTCGTTTCGGCATCGTGGCTGCGGCAATGGCTGCAGCGGGATTTGGAGGGCAGTGAGGAAGGGGCACGCTGGGATTCTGTTTCCGCTTCCGGGCGGGCGATGGGCAGTGAGGCTGAGGCTGCCGCCATTCCACTTCCGGAAGGCTGGTGGTAGTCTCGGCCGCGGCCGCATTCTTAAGTAAACTGCCTCGGTCCACCTCTGCCGCGCATGACGGCAATCTTAAACCTTTCCTTTGTTCCTATAAATGCTTAAAAGAATTAAAAAAAATTCCTCTCTTCCGCCTAGCTGGACAACACCATAACCAGCTCCTCGCAGTGTGCCAGAGTCAACAGGGTCTCGGGCCAGAAGGCCTGAGAAGAGGTGACTGTCGCACCATAAGATCGCCACATCCGGCCCCCGGTTACTATGGTAACAGCTGCAGGCACAACTTCGTGCCCTCTGACCTCCCTCCAAAAGTCCTTGTCCCACCTGGGTTTCCCTTCTTGTCCGCTCTCACATTTATGATCTGTAAACATACCCCTTATTACCGTTCCCTCAAGGAATCTGGGTCCCAGCAGGTCGGCGTCCGGACCGCCACCAGCCCCCAAGACCTCTGACGGTGCCCCCGGTGTAGCACAGCAACCGGGCGTCATTCCCGGGAAGCGCAGTCTCGGCGTTTGACTAAGGTCAATCCCTCGAGTTGGCAGTGGAGCCTCAGCGTGTCCACGCCCCCCTCTCCCTTAGGCAGAAGGACCCGCCCTGCGCCCCGCCGCCCCCTCCAGGTGAGTGGTAGCTCCTCCCGGGAACGCAAGGTAGTGATGACACGCGTCCCCCCTGCTCCGAACGCGAGGTGGTAGCGTCCGTGACGGAGTTAGCCCGATCCTCCCACGCGCGCCGCCCTGCTCGCCGCCGGGGCGCTCTCTCCGCGCCGCTGGCTTCCATGTGCCGGTAGCCCGTCCCGCATCACCCTCTCGCCCTGCTCCCAGGGAGAAGTGACCGTGTTTCTCGCGTCCGCCTTTCACCGCAGCAGCCGCGGCGATTCGGCCGGGCCCGCCCGCTGACGTCACCTGCGAGCCCCGCCTCCTCCAGGGTCCCGGGCCCTTGCGGCTGGGGCTGCCCCGGGGGAGTCAGTTGAGGCGGCGGGAGCTCGGCGCAGGGCGGGCCAGGTGACTGGTCCGGGCCATGCCGAGGAAGAAGCCCTTCAGCGTGAAGCAGAAGAAGAAGCAGTTGCAGGACAAGCGGGAGCGGAAGAGAGGTCAGTGCGGGAGCGGGGAGCGGGAGGAGGGGGCGGGGCTCGGGCTCCCGCACATCTGGCAGGAGGGGTGTGCCCGCCGCACCTCTGGGGGCGTGGGAGGGGGAGGAGGGCGCGCTCCGACCCCGCGGGCTGTCGAGGAGGGGATTCCCCCCGTCCCCGGCCCCCTACATCTGGAAGGGGTGGGAAGGATGGAGAATTGGGGGAGGGGAATCCCTCCAGCTCCAACGGGGCGCCATCCTCGCAGCTCCCTGGAGGAGTGACTCCCCCACGCACATCCGGGAGGGTCCTGGAGAGGGTGGCTGGGAGGACGGAGCCTCCAAAGAAGCTGGGTGGGGTGAGGAGGAGTCAGACCGATCGGGGAGAGGGTCTTACGGCCCCTGAGAGCCGGCCAGCACTGGCGTCACCAGCCCCTCCCCGCAGGGCTTCAAGATGGGCTACGCTCCAGTTCCAACAGCCGCAGCGGGAGCCGGGAGCGGCGGGAGGAGCAGACCGACACCTCGGACGGGGAGTCTGTGACCCATCACATCCGCAGGCTCAACCAGCAGCCTTCTCAGGGGCCGGGTCTGCGAGGCTATGACCCAAATCGGTGAGGGTGGGAGGGGGCGCTGGTCCCTGGCTTCCCTGCCTACCCGGAAGTCAGAGCTTGGGGGAGAGCGGGCTGCTGCTGGGGGAGGCTTGGAGTGGAGGCGGCGGGGCTGGGATGCCACGGTTCTCCGCAGGCCACTTGGCTCTCCAGAGCGGGCCACAATCTTCCCTTCCTGAGGGGCTGAAGAGAGTTTGGCTTTTAAAAGAGGGAGGCCGAATATATCGTGGAAGAGGGACTAGGGTTAGGCTGACTGAGAGAGGAAACGTGAACAACTCTGGAGAGAGAGCTTTGCAACGTTGTCTGCCCACAGGGGAGAAAATGAGTTTGTGGCCACAGGATTGTGCTGGATTTCATGGTCCCTGTTCCCTTAGATACCGGCTGCATTTTGAACGGGACAGCCGGGAGGAGGTGGAGAGGAGAAAGAGAGCAGCTCGGGAGCAAGTGTTACAGCCGGTCAGCGCTGAGGTGCTGGAGCTGGACATCCGGGAGGTCTATCAGCCTGGCTCAGGTGAGGCAGAAGACAGGCACTGGGCTGGGGGAGTGAGTGTGAAAGGTAAGAGCTGACTGCTGTGAGGAAGGAGGGGTCTGGGATGTACACTTGGATCCTGGAAGTGTCTTCACACTTACTTGGGCTTTTTCTTGACTTCGCAGTCCTGGACTTTCCCCGACGTCCTCCTTGGAGCTATGAGATGTCCAAGGAGCAACTAATGAGCCAGGAGGAACGAAGCTTCCAGGAGTATCTTGGGAAGATTCATGGGGCTTACACCTCTGAGAAACTGAGCTACTTTGAGCACAATCTGGAGGTGACAGTGGAGTGGGCACAAGAGTGTGACATAGTGACCCACGGTCAAATTGGTCTGGGGTCAGGCTGGAGAGGGACTCTGGGCTCAGGTTCTCATCCACTGATCTTGTCTTTTCAGACGTGGAGGCAGCTGTGGCGAGTGTTAGAGATGTCTGACATTGTCCTGCTTATCACTGACATCCGGCATCCAGTGAGTCCTGGGGATGAGGGTGGTAAAGGGGGAGGAGGGAGGAAGGTTCTTGTGGGGTAAAGGTCAGAGGCAAGAGCTGGGAGACAGAGAGATATCCTCCTTCTTGCATTCTTTCCAACCTCTACTCTGTGCTGATGTCTGCAGTCAGGAACTCAGTTTTTTATTCATCTCTTGTTATAGCCTGTCACTCCTCCCCTGGCCAGCTGACTGTCTTCTTTACTGACTTTGATGAAAAACTCTTATGTCCAGTCTCCTAGCCCACCAGAGCTAGACCAATAGAAAATCCCAGTGTGGAGCTCCAGGGATTCTGTGAAGGCAGCTGGGGGCTTCCCCCTGCCCAGCCCAAAGATGCCCTTTCTTCCTTATCTCATTTCTCTAGTACCACCACATCAGTCGCTACAGAGCCCACCTGGAATGCTAGGGTAGTGGTTAAGGCTGTAGACTCTGCTGTTGGGCTGCCCTGTGTAAATCCTGGCTGTGACACTTCTCTGTTGTCCTCCAGTGGGAGAAAGGGAGGTTTGTGGGGATGTTTAGGATGGAGGTTCTTAACAACGTGTACACACACATACTCACAAACACGTGTGTACATGTGCACATCTGCACACACAGGTATGTTTGCATACACTCAAATTCACATTCACATGTGCATGTGCTTGCATGTATGCTCATTTGCCTGTGTACACACTTACACAGCAGATATTAATTTCTACCCCAACCCCCATCTCTGTTTCTGATCCCATCCTTTACCTCAGTGTGTTAAGTGTCGTTATTTCCTTGTCCTGTTTTCAGTTTGTTTCCATCTCTAATCATGACCTATAGGAAACCCCCAAGGCTCACACAGATAAAATTAACCCCTGCTTTGTCTTCCTTGTTTAGTTTGGCTGGTTTATCATTTTCAGTCCAGAATTTGCTACCGCCAGGGCCTCGTCTCCAAGCAGTGTCTGCTGAGCAGGGAGCTGGAGGCAGAGGACTCTAGGTTGACCTCTCACTGCTCCATCCCCTTACCAACCCTGTCCCAGGTTGTGAATTTCCCACCAGCACTTTATGAGTACGTGACTGGAGAACTTGGGCTGGCCCTGGTGCTAGTCCTGAACAAGGTGGATCTGGCCCCACCAGCTCTCGTGGTTGCCTGGAAGCATTATTTCCACCAACACTATCCCCAGCTCCACATCGTCCTTTTCACCTCTTTCCCTCGGGACCCTCGTACCCCACAGGACCCTAGTAGCGGTGAGTGGACAATGAGGAGGGCAACATGGGGGAGGTGGGATGGCAGAGGACAGAGGGAGAACAAAGAGCCTTATTGACAAGGGGGTACCTGATCTTGGGCCTAAGGGTGGTGGAAGAGATGAAGTGCATAAGCCTGTGTGCAAACCCTTCTGTGCCCTGTGATCTCAGTCTTGAAGAAGAGTCGGAGGCGGGGGAGAGGATGGACTCGGGCCCTGGGGCCGGAGCAGTTGCTGAGAGCCTGTGAGGCCATCACTGTGGGGAAAGGTATGTGGCCCTTAGAGGAGGGATGTGGGAGGCCACGAGGGAGACCCAGGCCCAGAGTCGTTTTGCTCACCTTTCCTGAAGACAACCCCTTTATTTTGGATGTGCACGAGAGCCAGTGCTAGGATGCAGTAAGGAGCAGGCTGGCTTGGTGGGACAAGAGAGGCAGCAAGTAGGCAGGAGCCTAGTGGTTTGCTTCTTTTAGTCTTCCCAGGACTTTTCAGAAACTCAGACAGAGAAATGTTCATGATTCCAGGGTTGGGCCAAGTGAAGACAGGGAGATTCTCTGGCCCACTATTGTTCAGGTTGCCACCGTACAACTCCAGAGGGTGTCAGTTACATCAGTTGTGTCTGTGCCATCATGTATGGCAGCCCTGGGGAAAACCTTATCTTCTTCTCTGAGCAGTGGACCTGAGCAGCTGGCGGGAGAAGATTGCTCGGGATGTGGCTGGGGCCACCTGGGGTAATGGCTCCGGGGAGGAGGAGGAAGAAGAGGATGGGCCAGCAGTGCTGGTGGAGCAGCAGACCGATTCAGCGATGGAGCCAACTGGCCCAACCCGGGAGCGCTACAAGGATGGGGTGGTGACCATCGGCTGTGTGGGTAAGGAAGTGGTGTCCTGCGCATGGTGGCCTCCCAGGAGGTATACAGTTGGCAAAGAGGGAGGGAAAGCAGGTCTTATTAGGCTGCAGGGTCTCTGAGGGGTGACCTCTGCTCGTGGTCGGGGCGAGGCAGAGGAGGCATCTGCTGTGGCAGAAGGATCACGACAGCCTGAGCCAAATCCCACCTCTCCTCAGCTGTGTGGTCTTGAGCAAGTGATTTAGCTGCGTTGAGTCTTACTTTGATTTTAAAAATGAAGGCATTGTTACCTGATTAAAAGAAGGGATGTGAGGGGCCGGGGCGTGGTGGCTCACGCCTGTAATCCTAGCACTGTGGGAGGCCGAGGCGGGCGGATTGTTTGAGCTCAGGAGTTCGAAACCAGCCTGAGCAAGAGCGAGACCCCGTCTCTACTAAAAATAGAAAGAAATTAATCAGACAACTAAAAATATATAGAAAAAATTAGCCGGGCATGGTGGCGCATGCCTGTAGTCCCAGCTACTCGGGAGGCTGAGGCAGGAGGATCGCTTGAGCCCAGGAGTTTGAGGTTGCTGTGAGCTAGGATGACGCCACAGCACTCACTCTAGCCCGGGCAACAGAGTGAGACAAAAAAAAAAAAAAAAGAATGGATGTGAGGAATGAAGGGAGAGAGCCTAACGATGAGTATCAATTAATGATAACAGTAGTAACAATAATTGCTCTAGTATTTAGCATTCACATGGTGCTTACTTAGAACCAGGCACTGTTCTAAGTGATGCACATATGGTAACTGTTTCAGCTGTAGTAATTAGTCTGTGGTACAATGCCCATTAAGTCATAGTAGGAGCTCAACAAGTATTAGTTTCCTTCTAGGTCTTAACTCCTTAAATAAGGGCTTTGTCTTGACTCTCAGTGGGGGTTTTCCCCCCACTGAGTGTGAGTGAATGTGTGAGTAGGGCCCAGGGCCCTGGGCCCCTTTTCATTTTGGGTGGGAGAGGTGAGAAGAGACCTTGGTAAAATTGTGGTATTTGAGATGATATTAGGGCCAAAAAGGGCCCAGTCCAGAAGACACGGGAGTGTGAGGTGGGTGGCTGAGCTCCTTGGTAGTGCCCCTCACTTGTCTTTCGGTGTCCTTTTTGTCTTGGGAAAATGCTGCCTGACTGCTGAGTGACTGCCCCCTATTTCCAGTCATGTCACTCTGGCCCTCCCTCCCAGGGGCCTCTGTCCCCCTCTCTCATGGGCTCTGCACTAGCTTGTCTCTGTGTGGGGTGGTGTGCTGAGCCCAGTGTGTGCTGCGACACGGGCAGCCCCGAGTTTGGATTTCCCTGCAGCTCTCCCTCATGTATCCATTCAATAGATATTTACTGAGCACCCACCAGGTGCCAGGTGCTGTTGGAGGGATGGGACGTGCCACTGTGAAAATGGCAAAAAGGTCCCTATATGTTCATGGAGCTTTTCTTTTCCTGTGAGTAAATAGATTTATGATGGGAAATCATATTATTTAAGGGCAATGAAGGAAAGAAAGCAATGAAAGGGGACAAAGAATGATTGGGAGGGGAGCGGTCCTCTGGGAAAATGTCCCTGAGGAGAGAACTGCATGGTGAGATGAAGTGAGCCATTTGGAGCTGTGGGGGAAGGGTCTTGAGGTGGGAACGAGCTTGGTGATTCCAGCACCATGAGAGCATGGGACCAGGGGACTGTAGGGTGGGAGCCGGGGGAGAGTGTCGGGGATGAGGTCATGAAGGGACCAGGAGCCGTATCATGTAGGGTCTTGTGGCTGTGACAGGCACTTTGGATTTTATTCTAAGTCTCTTGAGAAGCCAATGGTAGGTTTTGAGCAGGGGAATGACAAGAGCTGACTTCCTTTTTTAGAAGTTTACCTACTAAGTAGAGAATGAATGGTGGAGGGTGGGCAAGAAAGGAAGCAGAGAGAGCAGTCAGAGGCTATCTCAATAGTCTAGGGGAGAAATAAGAGTTGCTCAGAGTAGGGTGCTAGAGGTGGAGGTGGTGAGATGGGGCCAGAAACAGGATATATTTTGAAGGTAGAGAAAATGAGATCACTGATGGTTTGTACTTGGCACCTAAAAGGAAGCAAATAAAGAAGGACTTCCAGGTTTTTGTCCTGAGCCACTGGGAATTCCATGATGGGAAGACTGGGAGAGAAGCAGATTTGGAGGGGTTGGGGAAGGTAGGGGAACCAGAAATTAAGTTTGAGATTCTTTTTAAATATCCCTAGTGGAGATGTCAAATAGGCTGTGGGTATAGGAGTCGGGCACTTAGGAGAGAAGAGTACTGGAGATTTGAATTTGGGAAGGATTTAAATTTGGGGAGCCATTGATGCTATAAGTGGTCTTTAAAGCCATGGGATTGGGTGAGATGTAGGGGCAGAGGTAGGTAGAGAAGAGGAAGCCGAGGACTGAGCCGTAGGACAAGCAGCGTTTAGAGGTTGGGCAAAGGAGAGTGAGAAGGAGGAGAACCAAGGGAGTGTCCCAGAAGTCAAATGAAAAAGTATTTGAAGGGGAAAGGAGGCACTGACTGCGTCACACATTGCTGACAGGCTGGGTGAGAGGAGAGCAGAGGCTGGCTCGGTGGGCTTGGCAACGTGAAGATCAGTGGTTTCAGTGGAGTGGAGGAGAGAAAGCCATATTGGAGTAGGCCCACAAGAGGACGTGCAGCAACACGGGAAACCTCACATAACGCTGTGCAAAAGGAGCCGGCACAACAACATCCATGCTGCACAATTCCATTTGTATAAAGTTCAAAAGCTGGGCCAGGCACGGTGGCTCACGTCTGTAATCCCAGAACTTTGGGAGGCCGAGGCAGGAGGATCATTTGAGGCCAGGAGTTTGCAACCAGCCTGGGCAACACAACGAGACCCCATCTCTACAAAATATTAAAAAATCACCTGGGTGTGGTAGCACACGCCTGTAGTCCCAGCTACTTGGGAGGCTGAGGCAGGAGGATCGCTTGAGCCCAGGAGTTTGAAGTTACAGTGAGCTATGATCATGCCAGTTGCACTCCAGCCTGGGTGACAGAGTGAGACCCTGTCTCAAAAGCTGCAAAATTTAACTGCATCGTTGAGGGATATACAGGCCGTAAACTAAAGAGAAACATAAGGAGTGGAATCTCTTAAAAGTCAGGATTAGGAGGAAGAGGGTTATGATCAAGAGGGATGAATGGGCCTCTGAGGAAGCATATCACACCCTCGGTGGTATGGGGTTCATTAGGTAGCACATTTATGTTCTATGCATTTTTTTGTGTGTTAGAGTTTACAGTCACAAAGAAGGTGGCATGAAGACGTGATGACAAAAGATAGATAAGTCTTTTAAGGAGTTTTCCTATAAAGGGGACAGAGAAATGGGGCTGGTGGGAGTTGTCAAAGGAGAATTGTTTTCTCCCTCCCTCCTGTTAAAAGGAGATACTTGACTGCGTGGCAAAGGAGCGCAGTCAGCACTGTGGCGCATCAGCCAGTCAGCTGCCCAGGAGTGGGTGCCAGATGGGCAGAGAGTTGCGTTTTACAGGGTTGCGGTTTTACCAGGTGGGTAATATGGAGGGGAGAGGCAGGACCAGGGAGTTCCAGGTCTGCGAATGGGCCTGGTTGTAGAGCTGGATCCTGGAGTCTGAGTTGGGTGAGAAGGGAAGTGGGGACATAGGTGCTGCATAGTGCTGCTGCGTGAGGGTCGGGGCCACAGACTGACTGGACTAGGGGAACCAGAAAAAGTGAGCTGGAGGATGGATGGCAGGGCAGAGAGGCGTGTGAAATGACAGGGTCCAGGTATTGCCGTGGGAGCGGGCAGCAGAGGAGGGGTCGAGACACTCTTTGGCAGTGCGATGCAGGCACTAAAGTCAGTCAGAAGGAAGGTGCTGGCGGTCATGAACTGAGTTGCAGCGAGCCCCGAGGCTTCCAGTTTTCTCCTTTCACTAGTCATAGTGTTTGTCGTGAGAAGTGATCACTGGTACTGGGCACTTATTCTCCTGAGGGCACTGACCAGGCAGTTGTGTTGGTTATCTCATTTATTGTGATCACTGAGGTAGGAGGTACTGTACTGTAAGATGAGGAAACAGAGGCCCAGAAAGTTAAGTAAATCGCCTTGAGGTCACAAAGCTGGTAAGCGGAGAGGCCAGGATTCAACCCTAGTAGTCCAGAGCCTGATTTATAATTTGCAATGTTGTACCGCTTCCTTAATTTCTGAGCCTTAGTTCTCCTTTCAGCTGTAGCTACAGCGCTGAGTCCTGCCCATCACAGAGCAAAGCCATGTCCAATGTGATTTTCCTTGCCTTCCTCAGGTTTTCCCAATGTGGGGAAGTCCTCGCTGATCAACGGGCTGGTGGGACGGAAGGTCGTGAGTGTGTCCAGAACCCCAGGCCATACCCGATACTTTCAGACCTACTTTCTCACCCCCTCCGTGAAGCTCTGTGACTGCCCGGGCCTCATCTTCCCATCTCTCCTGCCCAGGCAGTTGCAGGTATGAGGGCAGAGGGGCAGAGGAGGGAGAGAAGGCTGGACATTGAGGGAGGTGCTGAGTGCTCATTTCCCCGCAGGTTCTGGCGGGTATCTACCCCATCGCGCAGATCCAGGAGCCCTACACCGCAGTGGGCTACCTGGCCTCCCGGATCCCCGTGCAGGCCCTGCTCCACCTGCGCCACCCAGAGGCTGAGGACCCCTCAGCAGAACACCCCTGGTGTGCCTGGGACATCTGTGAAGGTGAGTTCCTTGTGCCTGGCTTCTCCCCACATGGTTTCAGCTGCCCTCCCTCCCTCACCTGTCAGCCTCTGGCCTCGCCCTTTACCCTACCCTGTCTCCTTTCCTCCCTTCAGAGATTCTGCCATTGATGAAGCTGCTGTCCCCTTACCCCTAGATTTCTGTGGCAGGGACAGCAAGATCTCTGGCCTGGAACGTTTGGGGGAAAACTGGAAGGACAGTGTTACGGCAGTGGTACCTGGTTAACAGTCCCCTCTTCCCGTTTTCTTTTCTCCCTCCAGCCTGGGCAGAGAAACGTGGTTACAAGACAGCCAAGGCGGCTCGGAATGACGTGTATAGAGCAGCCAACAGCCTTCTGCGGCTGGCAGTGGATGGCCGCCTCAGCCTGTGTTTTCACCCCCCGGGCTACAATGAACAGAAAGGTCAGAGCCCAGATATTCTTACCCAGCAAAAGGGTGTGGGCTTTGTGTCCAGACAGAGCGAGGGTCAAACCTGGATTCTGCACCTGTTGGCCAGGTCTGTGTTTTCTACCATCTGAGGTGGTTTCCTGATCTGAAAACTGAGGGAACTAATTGCCCCCAACACGGTGGTTGTGAAGATTGAGATTGCTGTGCACAAAGCTTCTGTTCAGTGCTCTGCACGTGAGAGTCTGAATGAATGAATGAGTGCCAGCAGCTATAAAATTATTGTTATTCCTAGTCTTTGCCTCTTCCCCATCTTTCTCTGGCTCAAAGTTCCTTGCTCAAAACTCTCCTCCATTCTTTTTCTTGTTTTGGTTCCCCAGGCACCTGGGAGTCCCATCCAGAGACCACGGAGCTGGTGGTTTTGCAGGGCAGGGTGGGGCCAGCAGGTGACGAGGAGGAGGAGGAAGAGGAAGAGCTGAGCAGCTCCTGTGAGGAGGAGGGAGAGGAGGACCGGGATGCGGATGAGGAGGGAGAAGGGGATGAGGACACCCCAACCTCAGCTCCAGGGTCCAGCCTGGCCACCCGAAACCCTTATGCCCTGCTGGGTGAGGACGAGTGCTGAGTCCCCACCCGGCACCATCTTCCCACCCAATATCTTTGCTTTTGGACTGACCTGGGGCTATCTCCCCTCTGCCACCCCAGTTGTGAATAAAGATTGTCTGCTTTGTAGCCCCTTCCCTAGATGAACTGAAGTGAGAGCGGCTGTTTTAGGCTGACGGCTGTGGGAGGCTTCTCTCCTCTTTTCATGCATTCTCTTTACAAAGAAAGTTCTCATAGGAGTTAATTCAGTGGGTTCTGAGGCCCCGAAACCTGCTTCCTCTGCCCACTCTCCCACTGTGCACCTTAGGAATCCCATTATCCACATGGGGAGGGGAGATCTAAATCCAACCCCCTTTTGGAGTTTGCTGTTCTCTCTCATTTGAGCAGCGGCCCCGTGCGCCCCCTGCTGCCAGACCTGAGTCCTACCAGGAGCTACTGGGAGAAGGAGCAGTAAGAGAGAAGGTACCTTAAACTGATGTGAGATTTTTACAGGAATTATTCAAATTTAACAAATATTTCCTGAGGGTCTACCATGTGTCTGGACCTACGCTGAGCACTAAGCATATAAGATGCACCAGTAGGGCCTGACCTAAATCTGCAGCCTGGCTACCATCAGGACCCCATCCTCAGGCACCCAAGCTTTCGGATTAAGAAGGGTGAATAATGTTCTCCAAATCCTGGAGGCTCATGAGGTATAATTCTAGGACTTACTGTTAATATAAAATTTTAGTTAAGACAAAATACTTGTGAAAATGTTGATTATATGTGTACAAGTAGGGTCTTAATTACTGGCACACAACTAGCGTGCACATTTATGATCTGAGAAGAACAGCCCTTTTGGTACAGCACTAAGTTTCATTAGTTAAGTGTCTGGCAGCGTAGGGTATATGAGATACATAGAGGAGTGTACAGAACCAGCTTCCTCAATCCCATTTACTCTGGTTGAGGATGGAGCAAAGGTGACTTAGTGTAGGGTAACTCGAAGTTAGCAGGTGGCCAGAGCCATCTTAATGTTTCATCTCTGCAGTTCAGCGGAGATCAGCTCTCTTGTGAATCAGGGTGCCTTAGGCCTTGCTTTATTTCATCCTTGTTAAGCCAGCAGCTAGATTCCTCGATTTAATTCATGGAGAAAAGGGAGAATGGGCTTTGTTTTATTGCCTGCCACAGTATTGTCTGGTTTGGATGGTAGCAAAAAGCAGGTTGACTGTTAGGTGGAAGGGTGAGGAGAGAGAGTACCACCAGATCCCTTCTCTTAACTCTGAAGCATCCCGTTCAGGTTCTGAGTCACTGGGAATTTCTCTAATGCCAGCAGAGACCCTGTTAACCAAGGAGCAAAGGCAACTATATTTAGAAGAGGCTGAGGTGTTTGGGCCACATAGTCCTTCAAGCTCATCCTCTCCGTTGGTCCCAGTGAGAACGTGAGTCCTGGAATTTTCACTCCAGGGCAAGGTTTAAATACTACCAGCATGTGAATGTGCTTGAAGGTTGCCTAAGATGTTCTGGAAAAGAGAAAATGTCTCAGTTGAGGGAAGGATCTAGCTGTCTCCCATCTGGGGCTCTTTAGCCTCACCAATGGGTCTTCTAACGGAGAAAAGGGGGCCCCAGCTCAGCTTCCTTTGAGGGTTCATGATGTTCGGAGATGCTCAGGGACTTCTCTGCTGCTGGAGGTGGGGTGGGGACATTGGATTCATTTCCTCAGAAGGTGTAGAGATGGGAGAAAAATCAGAATTCTGTCTGTGCCTCTATCACCTCCTCTGTGCTGCTTCTTTTCGCTTGTCTTTATCTTTTGCTATCTCATGAGCTTCACCAGGGGCATTTGGGAGAGTCTGGGAGTGGGGATGAAGAATTGAGACCAGGAGCCACATGGGCAGCTGAGGAGGGAGGATTTTTATGCTGAAGATCTGGCAGGAGGCAACTCTAGCATTTCCAAGGGGTTAGACTGTAAATGACTCTTCCCAGGCCCCCTCGGTGACTTGCTCACTCCCTCATAAAGTAACACCAGGAAGAGAAGAATCTTAGGAACAAACAGATCAGGGAGGAGAAGGATAAATAGTGCCCCAACACCAGTGACTGAGGCTGGGGTTGACACTGACTAAAAGGACAAAGGAAATCAGGGGTCCAGTCTCCCCTCCATGCTGAAATAACCCCCATCCTTACACCCCTTTTGTCTGGGTCACGTCCACTATGTGGATACTTGGCGGTGGAGGTCTGGGGCTCTGGCAGCTCCCACGGCTGGCCAGTCCCTGATGGAGAGAAACTAGTGCTTCTCTCATCCGTGCTGGAACTTCACTTAGACATCGAGTTCCTTCCAAGCTTCTCTTTTTCCAGACTGAGTTCTTGTCCTGGTTCTGGAACAGGTAGCTGTGCGTGGTCCAGGATAGTTCAATTATCTGGGCCTCTGCTCCTTCATTTCTTATAATCATGATACAATCAACAAAAATTGGTAGAAAATAATATGTACCAGGCATGCCGAGTTCTGGGACCAAAAAAAAAAAAAAAATTGAATAAGGTAATAGGTCCTGCCCTCAAGGAATAGAACAGCCAGACACTAATAATATAATGCAATACTTCTATGGTACTATATAAATTATAAAAGAATTACTTTACATGTGTCTATTGAACTGTCATAACTAAGGAAGGTGGATAGTACTATAATCAACCCAAGGATTCATTCACCCACAGAACATTTGTGAGGCGATTACTCTCTGCCAGTCACTGCTAAGTGGTGAGAGAGAGATGGTTCTTTGTGGAGCTCACAATTTAGTGGAGAATGGCAACCATTAAATAGACAATTACAAACAAAGTCTGATACGTGCTGGGAGAAAGGTGGTACAGGATCCCAGGGGATAGTGGTGGCTCCATATAGGAGGGGCCTTGGGATACTGATCAGGAGGGAGTAGGGGGCAGGGCCGGAAGCTGTTTTAATATAGCAAGTTATATAATACAGCAAAAAAACAGAAGTCAGTAGTCCACGGTGATGAATTGCTATGGGAACATCCAACGGGGCAGTTAAGCCCGTCATGGCGTGTCAGGGGAAGGCTCCTAGAGGAACAGGTCCAAGCTGAGGCTTAAAGACTCGGCAAGAGTGTTCACCGGACATAGAGAGGGAAGGGCATTCCAGGCAGAGGGAACAGCAAAGGCCAAGGAACATGACAGCTTCGGAAGACTAACTTGTTCAGCATGGCTGGGGCAGAGGGTGCAAGGGAGAAGTGGGGAAAGGTGGCTTGGTCCAGTTCTTGCAGGGCCTTGTCAGCCATATTAAAGATGTAGGCTTTATCCAGAGGAACATTGAGGAACTTTAAGCCTAAGACTAAAAAGGAGAGCATTATGCCTTAGAAAGATCACTGTGGTTGCAATGTGGAGACTGGCTTGGAAAGGGGAGAGAGCAGAGACTTCTGCAGCCGTCACAGGGAGAATGGAAACCAGAATTGAGGTAGTAGAAGATGGAAAGAGAGAACTAGTTTTATGGGATGCTTAGGAGATACAACTGACAGTTCTTGGGATTGCTTTGCGGTTTGGGGGAAGGAGGAGGACAGGTGAAAAGCGCACATCATGTTTCCTACTTGGCAACTGGGTGAGTTGTAGGGCCATTTCCTGAGACAGGGTTTGTGCAAGTGGAGCTGGGGAAAGAGAGGTGGTGGCTGGAGCCAGAGATGTGGCATCATCGGCATATAGGTGGGAGGAGAAGAGAAGACTGAGGAAGAAAGCGAAGAGCATATAAAACGGAGAGCAGGTAAAGAGGAGCCAGTGAGACAGGAAAAACCTCCTACCGTGTGGTGTAATGAAACCGTGGGAAGTCGGAAGGAGGGCGAGGTGCGGAGTGCTGCTCCCAGCTGGTGACGTGAAGACCGGAGAGTATCCACTGGCAACAGGGAGGCCTCGGTGACCTGGGTGGGAGCAGTTCTATCGGAGAGGTGAAATCAGAGGCCCCAGATGTCAGAGGATTAAGGAATACTTTGGAAGAAGGGAGCGGAGGCGCGGTGGAGGTGAGGATGTAATTTTCAAGGTGGTTGTCAGTGACTGCAATGAAAGAAGCATGCGGGAGCAGAGAACATGGAATTGAGGAGCTTTTTCTTTAAGTTTGGAGATTTTGGTGCGTTTAACATGCAGTGAGGAAGAAGGAGCAAGAGGAGGAGGGAAGGTGGAAGACGCGGGAAGGTGGGAATCGGCGCTGTAAGCCCTGCAGGCGGGCGCGGGTGCGGTCCGGGAGCGGCAGGGAGCAGCGCTGACATTCAGCCTGGTACGGCTGGCTTGCCTGGTACGGCTCGGCCAGTTGTTAAGACACTTCTGCACCGGTCAGTAAGTAGTACAAGAGTAACTGCAATTAGCAGTAAAAATAATAAAGTAAATTCTAATACGAACTCCTCAGTTAAAGCTAATTAAGGCATCGCAACAGCCATTGGTAAATGGGCTTCCCGCTGCCCCTGGGAAGCCTCGCAGCGCCACCTGCCGGTGTGGCAGCATCTCTGCAGGCTGGGAGGCTGCTTTGCAACTTCGTTTTGAAACACTTAAAATTGCCTGTTTACATTATCTTCGAGTTATGGAGTTGTTACTGCTTCTAAATAGATTAGCTTCTACTTTGATTTTATTGTTAGCGCATTGTCATTCTTGTGTCAATAGCAAGTTTCAGTGTTTTAATATTTACAAATTTGAGAATTTTTAATAAAATACTAAAGCCAAATGAAGAGACAACAAAGTGGATGTTTCTTGATGTGCCTTTTGAAATATTATAAATGAGAATCTTTGGATTCCTCAGGAGAACAAAGAAGAAATAATATTAATGAGCTGCAGCCTGGAATGTCTTCTTTTGTTAACTGTGCAAAAATCAGACTAATATGGAAATTGTTTCCACCTAATAATAATTATATTTTGAAAAATTTCTAACACAGAGGAAAAGGACAATAAATACCCAAATACTCAACACAAAGATTCAACATATTCTAGATAAAAAAAACAAATAAAAAAATTCAACAAATGCTAACATTTTGCCATATTCGCTTTACTAGTCTCTACCTATCCTAGGTATTCACCTATTTGCGTACTTACCTATCCTTTTTGTTGTTGTTACCTTTTATTTTCTAAATTGTAATCTTTAATTGTAAGTTGACAAATTATAGTTTATATATTTA